ATTAAAATTAGTTTTTTTCCTTATTTTTTGTTTTTTTTTTTTTAATTGTTTATATAGTCTGTGCACAATATAAAAAATTGTGAAGGTAGCAATGAACGAGTCAAACAGTTATTCAATAGCATGTTAGTTTTATATCCGATCGAAATAAAGTTATCGGTTTAGATTAGATGCACAGTGATGATCACCATACGTCGAGAGATTGAGCTCCTTTTTTTCCTTTTCCATTCAAACATTTTGACAATTCTTAAACTAACCAAAAATGTCAATCGCAGTTGCATAGCGAGTACAAAATCAAATTAATCGGTACGCAGTACGTAAGAGACGACAACAGTTACCAATCGATATAAAATAACATAATTGCAGGGGCAATCAATCTCATTTGGTTTTACATTCAGTATTGGCGATTATTTAACGGATACCATGTATTTTCAATTTTATATAGACTCAAGCAGAGTACGCTTGATGCGAACCCACTCAACGCGAAATATGTAATGCATTTAGAGTGTTGCTTGAACACTATACATGTTAAACAATTACGCTAAAATTTACTAAGTTAAAATCGCCAGTATTGAACTCAACCGTATTCTGTATATTTACCTAATAATATAAAACAAGAACACAACAAACTTCTTGGCATACAAAATACATTTCAACATGTAAAGTTGTATGTCATTCTTTTCTTCTTTCTTTTTCCAGTTTATCTCCCTATCCTTCGACTGTCTCCTTAGAATTTTTTTCCGGATTATCCTCCCACTTACATAACGACAATCAAGAAACATATATCAAGAAACGTTGATATTTCTCTTCACTTGCTTATCAGGAGCATGTGTTGCTTTTTAAAACAAATTTTTCAATGTATACGTAATGAGTAATGAACTTTCTTTTACACATGGCGGTGATTTTAAATGTATGTATTTTGCATAGTGAGTGAAGGGAGGAAGGGAGGAAGGAAAAAGGATGGAATTTAGGAGGATAGCGAAACGAGTTTATCCGCTCTTAAAGAGAAGAATGGCTACCTGACCAAGGTAGAAATAGATAAAATGTCTTGTTTCGTGCGTCACATAGCTACCGAAATTACGTCCTACAATGCAATGCCACGTTGGGTTGTACTTTTTATCGAATTCTTTCTTGATAAATGCTGCAATGTCCTGAAAGCCAAAACCAGTGGATATTAATGATAAAATCAATAGCAGTATTGATTTAACAATCTCATCCTGTATAAGATAATCCATACAACAAATAACAGTAATTTTCAGAAAACAGAAACTCGAATTTGATATAACTTTGATAATTGCATTTAAATGTTATTTAAACGTTATTTAAATACATTAGCTTTAAATTAGAATCTCTCAGTTTTATTAAATTAGAGAGATGAAGAAATCAGATTCTGCGTCATCATTCTAAATATCAATTAATAATCCATTAAAGCCTTTAATTTATTTCAATTATTTATCTGTACGTATAATAATATTAATATTTTACTTCACACAAATGTAAAATTTTATTGCTACTATTTAAATAAAAATTTTATGCTTAACAGAGATGTCGACAAGCCATGATTAACTTTATAACAAATTAATTAAATTTCTATCTATAAAATATGCTAAATTTTTATTAAATTTACTTGTATTTTAAGTTTCTTGTTCTTTGCATAACACATCTGCACAATGTTCCGAATACGTTATCTGTTATAGATATCAGATAAAAATTTGAAAAACACTTACCTTTTCAATATTATATTTTTCGAGGGCTTGAGTAGCACAATCGACAGCATCTTGCTGCATCTCCTCTGACATGTCAGCATTCTTGATTACTGCCTTTCGGTCCGACATCTTGTTTATTCTACAACATAAAGATACAGTACCATCATACGATAATCATACAATGGAACATCTTTCTAATGCAAACATTATGCAAGAAACATCTTGGTATGTATCTTAAAAGAATAACCAAAAAATATATCATTGACATATGTCGTAGATTCAAGATAAACATGCTTTGAAAGCTGTGCAAACTCAATGTGTGATATTGTGAAATAAAAATTAAAATAATTTCTGAAAGACGATTGCCACGTGCAATCATTTTTATCACTATTTTCTATTCACACCATTTTAAAGATAAAACGACTTATTTATAAGTAACATTATTGGCGTTTTCAGAGCTCTCAGTTAAATGCCATTAAGTTGAAACGAGCGAATTAACGGATATTGGACAATCGCCCCCGCGCGTATCGTTATCGCAAGATATCGAGAGGCTCAACCTGGGCCGTGGGAAGCGCACGACTTTGACAGTAGCATACAGGTCCAACGCCGGCATGACAATACGGCGGGGCGAGTGTCAGAGCGCGAGGTAACGCGCTCGTTTCAGATAAGACAAAGATGGAGATAGAGAAAGAAGAAAAAGAAGACGGCTCAGGCGGAGCGAGAGAGACAGGAGTCTGTCGCTCATGCGAATATCGGTGCGATGCACAAATAGAGAATGAAAGGAAGGAAGTAAAGGGAGGAGGGACGGGGGGAAGGGGGGTAGAAAAGAGCAGATATGGACTCTAATGGAGCGAGAGAGCGAGATATAACGTCGAGGTGAAAGAGGAGGGGGGGGGGGGCACGAAAGGCGCGGGAGGACAGTGTTTGTCGATACGAGGACAATAAAGAAATGGCAATTCGGCCGGCACGCGAGGTGCACGGCCCGCGAAAGTGGGTCGCGACGACGCCTCCTCGCTCGTCGTGGCGCCGACGCCGAGCATCGCCTCGCGACTCCGCCGAGGAGGATCGCCAACGTTTGACACGGGGGAGAGACACGCGCGCGATCGCGCGACCGGACGAATCCGGCCGCGAATGCCGCGCGCGATCCGGTCTCGGCGCGATACTCGCGCGAACAGGGGTAAGGAGGGGGAGCGGAGGAAGGGAAAAGGACGAGTATGCATCCACACGCGATATACATTGGCGATGCTCCTGTTCCTCCTTTCTTCGTCTCCTCTTCGTCTCGCAGGCGCATCGCTCCGTTTCCCCAGTATACCTTTTCTACGTTGACACCGTCTCCAAGCGAATCGCACGCGATACAGCAGGCTCTCGCCCTCCTCTCCGGTCCGATCCGGTGCGATGTGGTGTGGGCGAGTGTGGCCGTACGTGAGTCTCTCCGGCGAACGCCGTTTATTTTAAGCGCGCGCGCGCGTTATTTTTCCGATATGACGACGCGTGCAACGCGAATTCGACACAACAGCGGACGATCCTGTGATGAAAGGATCGGCGATCACTGGTTCCTGATGCTGCCGCTCTGCCTCGAACACTCGGAAAGAATTTTGGGCTCGCTGGCGCGACGAGGGCCGAAAGAGAGAGGAACGATAACTTTGCGACTCGGGCTCGAGACTGAGAGTGCGGATAGTCGCCGCCGCACGATGCCGCCTCGCGATTGGCTGCTCGACAGGGTCTTCTATCAGGGTCTTCTAACAGACCGGCATGCATCGCGCCAAGTGACGCGCGAAAAACAAACGTGTAATAAAAAAAAAAAAAAAAAAAAACCAAGAACAAATCTCTATGAAGGCTTGTTTTTATTTCTTGCGTTTCTTGGTAACTGCTGATTTTTATGATCCGTTTTAATTTACGTCATACTTCAAGATGAAATTCAAACTTACGCAGGATAATCGTTGTATAACAGATGTATATTCTTTTAATAGATATGTTCCTTTTAGTTATTTATAAATATTCTATGTTTTCTTTGAAAGTATTCTAATTAAACTTATCCTAATTATGAAAACTAGAAAGATGTTAAAAACAAATCTGTTGATTATTGATGCAATTATTAAAAGAGATAAATAAAAAATTATTGAAATGAATAATCGTGTCTTCAAGATCATTAAAAAAAATCTAGAAAAAAGTTATAAAAAATTTATATAATATTTGATGTGTTTAAAAAATATGATATAATATTGAGTATAAAAAATACCATCCTTTCGTCCCTACAGAAAATAAATATATGCGACACAACTATTTCATACCATTCTTGGAAAGTGTTCAATTCTACATCACGCAATTAAAATTCAAAGCTATTTGGAGAGCAGACGATATTCCGAAATGATAAACAGAACAACGGTATATATTTCCTAAGACAGCATGCGATAAGAAAGAAAAGAAAATAAATATCCATACATCAATATTCATACAAAAAATAAGAAGTGTAGTCTTGTTGTACTATAGAAATTTTAAGAAGATGACCATTAAAAGCTGGTCTATGACAAATAATTATAATGAAAAGCAGCCAAGAAGTAAAGAAAAAGACAATTCAATTCACAAAATTGACATTCCATTACGTATCTTTCTCTTCGACAACCTTGTTAAAATTCAAACGCATGTTCGATAAGGACTCCAATCTTGCCTTATCGGCAGACTGTAATTTTTGCATGTCACTAATATGAATTTTTGCATAGTTTTATAACTCCATAACCTTCAACAACACTCAAGCACTTTGTTGCAATCGACAATCTAATTAGCGTACCATGTCGTTCAAGTGGTCGCTCTGTGTGGAAGTCATTTACAAGTGACGCATCGCTATTTGCATATTATCCGTCTATATCTTATTAACGCAAACAATACGTACTTTCGAGGCGTAATTTCACATTTCTCTCATTAATCATTATAAATTTAATTTAAATATGCTAATGAAATATGCGCATACGCGAGACGCAATATGTTTAAAATTGATTGATGAAAGAATCCATCGGAGTCGCTTTTCGAACGTTCGCGCGCCACTAAAGTTAAAGTTCCCCCCTCCTATGCTGTCGTTTTTTTTACACGCAGGCGCGCATGCTCATTTGTATATATAGCGCCGCCGCTTGTCGATAAATAGCGTTAGCGTGACCGCTGGTTTCTGACGGTTGATCGTACTCACGACTTTTGTGTTGCGCATTGCGGATTGCGGGCTAATTCGAAAGGAAGAGCCTCTAAAAATCTCGATTCTCGGCTACGGGAAAATTCGGAAAATATGTTTCGTTTTTTCGTAGTGATCGCCGCACTCTTTGTGCTGATCGACGCGGACCGTTTTCAGAGGTGAGAACGCAAAAACGTTTGTTGTATTTACATACCTATATCACACGATAAATACAGATTAAAGATTACATTCTCAATTTCGTGGAATCGACGCGGAATACGCGATAAAGATCTCGATAATTAGACGAAATCTGTAGGAAAATTTTATTTTGTCAAGCGCATAGAGACGGAGAGATATTTTTGAAGATGTGCTTTTGAGGCGTATCTTCATCTTCTTTATGACTCATTAGATGAGATTATTTTCGTCATGAACAAAGCAATTTGCATTTCGAACGCCTAAATCTCATTTTGCGTAAATAAAAAATAGAGATAACGGTAAATTACTTTCTGTTATTTACTTAAATAACATCTTTAAATCTATATAAATGGTAATCTAGATGTTAATCATTAAATTTTTAGTTAACTAAAATTTCTTGTATAATTATTGTACTGACTGCCTTTTTTTTATATTTATATCATACATGTACAAGGTAGCTTCTAGAACAAAGATTAAACTTGCATGATATTTTCATGACTCATTGTTTTTGGAACGAATGCTACTTACATCAGTGAAGATATTTATACATACACATATATATATATATATATATACATGCATATAATATATAATAAAATGTTCATTGTGTTGCTTGTAGAATTCCATTGTATAGAATTAAATCTATTCGAAAAACTTTGAAGGAAGTTGACACTGATCTGACACAAGTTCGTTTAGCTACTAGCTCTACACCTGCAGAACCTCTATCCAATTATCTAGATGCTCAATACTATGGTCCTATTTCTATTGGAACTCCACCACAGACTTTTAATGTAATTTTCGACACTGGTTCCTCAAATCTCTGGGTACCATCTAAAAAATGCAGATTACTCAACATTGCTTGTAGTAAGTATATTATAATGTCAGTATTTCTTTGAATATTCCATTATTTATATATAAATATATATTTATATTTATTATTAATGTTACTCTAAATGTTGCAAAATCCTTGAGTTATCTTTTATTGTAATGATTAATATCGAGTAAAAATATAGACTAAAAATAATAAAAAAGGATTGTAAATCTATTTATATTTCAAAAAATTTTAAATCTGCAAATAATTTCAAACATTTATAACTGTTTATTGAGTAAATATTATGAAGTCAAGTTCTACAATTGTTTACAGTGTTTTATGTGATTTATCACACTTACTCTAAAGATACACATATGACCTCTGATATGAGATAGCATATATATTAAAGCAAAAAATATTATAAATATATTGATAATTTAAATAACTATTAATATTACATATTTAAATTTTAATAGGAAAATCTCTCTTTAAAATCTCTAATATTAACTTATTTAATTTAATTTCATTTGCTACTTTTATAGTGTTACATCATAAATATGATAGCAGAAGATCCAGCACATACGAACGCAATGGTACAGCATTTGCTATTCAATATGGTACTGGTAGTTTGTCTGGGTTCTTATCTACTGATTCAGTTTCGGTGAGTCGTTGTTAAACAAACAATCCAATATAATCTAAAGCGTACTTTCAACTATTAATGATATCAATTATAGGTTGCTGGCCTTACTGTTAGGAATCAAACATTTGCGGAAGCGGTAAGTGAACCAGGATTAACTTTTGTTGCTGCAAAATTCGACGGTATCCTAGGATTGGGTTACTCTACAATATCTGTCGACGGTGTAACTCCTGTCTTTTATAATATGGTTAAACAACGTCTAGTGCCACAAGCCGTTTTTAGTTTTTATTTCCAAAATCGGCATGTATCTTTTTTTCATTCTACTTGTGAAAGATGTTTTTCTTGCGATTAATTAATTTGTTTTTTTATGTTATGAAAAAATATATATAATTTATATAGAGATCCCAAGGCTGAAAAAGGTGGTGAAATGATATTGGGTGGCTCCGACCCTGCTCATTACGAAGGCGAATTTACGTATGTTCCTGTTACCCGCAAAGGATACTGGCAATTTACCATGAATGAGTAGCTATTTTCTAAATTGCACATATATCAACCATGGATCATATGTCAGCAAATTACTAATGCTATTGTGTTATAGAGTTAAAGTGAAAGGTCGAACATACTGTGCTAATGGCTGCCAAGCTATTGCGGATACAGGTACTTCTCTGATAGCTGGACCATCAGGGGAAATCGCAGCTCTCAATAGAGCTATTGGAGCTACTATTATTAGTGGAGAAGCAATAGTAAATAATCAATTTTCATAATAGCAATTTATGTGTTAAATTGCTAAGATGAATGTTTGTTAAATTATTGACATTAATGTTTGTTTAAAGGTGGATTGCAAACTGATTCCTCATTTGCCCAACGTTGAATTCATCTTCGGTGGTAAGAAATTCATTCTCACTGGTGAAGATTATGTCCTTCAGGTAAGTAATACAATTCTTGTGAGTTTAAACTGTTTTCAAATAAGAATATTATATTATACTTCATTCTTTGTAGGTCACACAATTTGGTAAAACAATATGTATGAGTGGTTTTATGGGTATAGAGACGCGTGATTCATTATGGATTTTAGGCGATGTATTTATTGGTCGTTACTATACAGAATTTGACATGGAGAATGATCGAGTAGGATTCGCTCCAGCGAAATAAATATTGATTGCCTTTTCAAAAAGTTATCGTTAGATTCTAAAAGATCTAATATCTTCGTGAATAAATAAAAAAATTTTTTTAGAATATCAATTCTCATGTTTATTGCTTTGTAATTTTTACTTGTGATTATCCATAGTATGTTAGGCAAATATGTATGTGATATTTTAAAAAATTAGAATGAAGATTTGTTATTTTTATCAAATTTGATATATATCCTCTTAGCATAGTATTGTATTATTCCAAAGTGTATTGGATATAACTAAGTCTATTAAAATAAAATATATATTCTTTTCATATACTGTATTGATTTCATATATTTTGATTCTTCGACTTTATTTAAATGTTATACTAAAAAAAATTATTACATATTTTGTTTACAAATATAATAAACCATATTTTGTTCATATACAAGTATAACACAATCTCTAAGCAAATTTACATAGTGTGTACAATTTTATTTAAACATCCCAAGAATTATTCGTTCAATAGTGACAAAAAATATCTTTTGTGAAAATTATGCATTAATTTCTTTTTGTTTGATTGCATGAAGACCATAAAATACTGCTGTACATGATGACCAAAACCATTGGTTTAATAGTGGATTAAATTTCATCCCATGAATTAATTTCGTTTTGCAACCATCTATAAAAAAAAAAATATTAACTAATTGTTATATAATATACAAGGAGTTAAATAATATATAATCTTTACACACACACACACACATACACACACACACACACACATATATATATATATATATATACATACAATATTTTTCAATAATTGTTTTAAAACTTACAATTGTCTAATATATGTTGAACTTCATGTGGAGCAATGAATTTATTCCAATCATGAGTACCAAAAGGTACAAGTCTAACAATATATTCGCCTATTACAATAAGAGTCAACCAAGATGCAAAAGTTCTATTTTCCGTCGTTATAAAAATTGATCCACCTGGTTTTATAATCTTCGCGCATTCCTATAAAAAGTACGTGTTCTTTTTATTTTTGGTATTTATCTATAATTTTTGTAATTCTTATTATATTATACCTTTAAAAATAGTTCCTGATTTGATATATGTTCTAAGACTTCAGAAGCTACAACAGCATCATACAAGCCTTCTTGTTTTTGAGAATAGTCTTCCACAGTTGTCTTAATGTAATTCACTTTCCCTGATATATTAGGATCCAATTTTACATGTTCTTTAGCAATATTTATTAATTCTGCCGATATATCGATTCCAGTTACTTCAGCTCCTATTCTAGCTAAACGTTCTGTTAATATACCACCACCACAACCAACATCTAAAATTTTGATTCCTTCCAGTGGAAGAGCTGAATTTTGCACTTCAACTCCAGCATTTACCAATCCATCTCTCACAAACTGCACTCTGATCGGAGTATATACATGAAGAGCAGCTAATGGTCCATTCTCATTCCACCAATCATTTTTGAAAGTAGAAAGATGTTCAATCTCCTTCGTATCTACTGTGGTTATTGATCGTACAATTCTATTGATACATAGAACATTTTTTAATCTATAAATAAATAATGAATCATTATTTTTTTAGCTAAATATTTTTACATAATATATTTTTATATATTTATATATAGAATAAGATTTTGATATTTTATTAATGTATTTTAAAGATAAAATGTATGATAAAAATAAATTTACTAAAAAAGGAAAAAAAATAACATATGATTGATAACATAAATAAATAGATATAAGATATAAATGAAATATTATATACTTGTTTTTTTGCGATCCATTGATATATCTGAGAATATTCAAGACTATCATTTTTATATTTGATCACGATTCAACTTACAGTTTAAAAACCTAGTTACTTTAAATTATCCGATAAATAATAAAATGAAATATATTTAAAAATTGCTTTTTAATGCTAATCGGATTAATAATTGGATTTGTCACATAATCAAACAATGATAGTAGTTGTACTATGACAAATAACAGTTGTCATCCATCTAAGATTTTAATTTAAATTTTAAGATTAACAGAATACACTTCGCCACGTATTTGTTACAACTGCCGACATAAAAACTTTAGAAAAGAGACGTTTATTAATTTTTAAAATTTGTAACTTCCACAAAATATGTCCATACTTCAGCCATATGGTTAAGGTTAAGGTTGTAAGTAAAACGGAGGTAAATGGAACTTTCTAGTAAACCACTTTCTAGACAAAGTTAGCAGCTTTATCGATCATCGTTAGTTATTTTACCGATTTTATCTTTTTAAAATATGTACATTAAATTTAAACTGATTGCTTATTTTTTTGTAAAACTCAGAAAAATGTATTAAAATTTAATATATAGAATAAAATAATACGAATATAAACGAAATTGATATATAATCTGTATATTTGTATTTGCATTGAATAATTATATAACTAGTTTGATTTAAAATCAGAATGTTAAATATTTTTCTTTTAAAATTAATTTAACATACAATTATCCGAGATAACATTCAAAGTTGTGGAATACTCGTACGTATTCGAAGACCATGCATATCTTTAATTTCTTCCTTGAGAACCTGAAATAAAAAAAAATTGATAACATTATATTCTTAATTTGAGGATTATACTCTTATATTCTTTCTTGGAAGGATTTAGCAGATTATACCTCGTTAATGATTCGATGCTGCTTTACAGTATTTAATCCTTTAAATTCTGGAGCAACTACGTTTATGTCAAACATAGCACCACATCCTCCTAAGATATAATTGTAATTATCAAATATTAAGTTAAATGTATTATTTTCTATATTTTTAAGAAAATATATATGAAAGAATATATGTAATATAAAATAATTTTTACCTGATACATCGGTAACTTCAATCAGCTGGGCTTGTGGAAATCTGTCCCTTAGGATGGAAATCATTTTCTGCTCAGCATGTTTACCTGCAAGTACGCCGTTGGATCCATTCCACAGCCGAGATAGCAGCTGCAACATTTTGGTTTTATTCATCTTTCTCATTGTAGTCCTCTTTATTCTCATCGCTTATCTATAGCATGTAAATTATTGCTCGAAAGAGATAAGTGACATTGGATTTAAAACAAAGAATTTAATTCATTAAACTTTGACAATTTATATATCCTTTTCTTCACCAAATATAAAAAAAGTATACAATAAAAAGAATACATATATAGTAAATACACTTGTTTACATCTAAATTGTCACAACTATATATTCCTATATAAAATAATTAAATAAGAATTGTATATAGTTAAAGATTTTTCTATGAGTAATCTTGCCGAATAAATTCATCGAAGTTCGATTAAAGTCTTAATGATCATTTCTATCAATGTAAATTAACTTAAATCTCGATATAATTTTATTTTTTTTAATTCTCAAAACTAAAAAGTGATAAAAAGTAAATTAAACCAAAATTAAAATTAATCAACATGTCGAAATGGATGTAAGAAGATACGGATTTAAGATATGCAAAAGATGCACGTGTTATCTGCTTACCGATACATTGCGAAAATTCGATGTAAATACACGTTGAAACATAGCCGGACGAGTCGAAATTTTTTTTATTGGGTGTTTATTCCTTTGCTTCGAGATCCCGATCGTCGATAGATTTTTCCTATCAAAAACCGTGATGAAAATCGAGTAGTATATGTATATCGCCGATCTAGTCGAATCTAACCTCGTCTCATGCATGCAATGTTAGGTTAGGCACTCATCAGCTGATCTAATTACGCGCGTGTGCCGCATCGGATGAGAATGAGTCAGATCGAAATTGATCAAAATATTAAATACTAACAGCATGATATCACGAAGACATATATCTTATGTCTTATATTATTCATTCGACACGGTTGTTGTTTTTTCCAAAAATTAATAACGACAAAAAACGAATAGAAAAACGGAAAAGCAATTTTAGAAATTGAATAATCTGAATAATAATTAAATCAGTTTTGTATTCTATTGTCGTAAAATTAAAAAAATTTAATTTAATTTGATATGATATCATCAAGCATCTGGAGATGAGAGGTAATTTTCGGGCCCAGAGATAAAACGCCCTCTGTTCAGTTTTATCACAAGAATTATCAAGCGTCCCATCGTCCCATGTCCCATTCACATTCAACGATGCAATATCGAATATATCGGATGCGGAGTAAAAAAGACGTAGCCACGTGTCACAAGGCCGAAACATATTTTGCTCGCGCGCCGAATTTATTCTTCTTTTTTATCCGATTCTGACCTCTGATCTGTGAAGCATTCGTGAACTTTGCGCGCCAGAAGGGAAGGAGGATCGTCCGCCTTCATTGCAAAACAAAGCCGATTCACAGTTCGATTCTCGATCGTGTCAAACATGGATCATCTGATAGACAATCTCCAACCACTTTTCACCACCAACGATTTGGTCCTGTCCACCGAGCCGAGTTCCTCGGACGCGCGCAATAATGAAACTCAAAGAGGTAATAATATTAGCAAAGTGTGTAACACGAGACATTATCTTATTAAATCATTTCGAATCATTTCGAAATGATGAATGTGAATCATTTCGAAAAAATGTTATCTAGAATATAATTACACAAATAATTGTCCTTAATAAAATAACAGAAATTAGTTAATTAAATTAATATCTTCTTTTTAATTATTGAATTGATCAATTAAATTAAAATTAGAGAATAGATATCTTGAAGATTTCCTTCTAATTTAGATTTTAGATTTCATGATTATAAATAAGAATCATGCATAATATGCAGAGAATTGATAATGAGAGATAATGAGAGATTTCTTAAATATCTGTTTCATGTTTCAGGTGCTGGTATCTTGGGAACTATTTTTTTAATTGTAAATACTACTCTAGGAGCTGGATTGTTGAATTTTCCCCAAGCCTTTGATAAAGCTGGTGGAGTAGGAACTTCTATTTTAACACAACTTGGTTTCCTTGTGTTGATCGTAGCTGCTCTAGTTATATTGGCTAGTTGCAGCAATAGTACAGGCATGGATACTATGCAGGACACAGTTGCTGGATTATGTGGATCCAAATCGCTTACTCTCTGTGGTATCTGTGTAGTTGTTTATAGTTTTGGGTGCTGTTTAACATTCCTGATAATCGTTGGCGATCAATTCGATAGAGTGTTTGCCACTTATTATGGTCTTGATTATTGTCATACATGGTAATTATCTCAATGACAAGAAAACGCAATTCATCGAATTATTTCAATCTATATTTGATTTTCCAGGTATCTATCCAGATCGTTTGTGACTGCTTTATCTTGCAGTATATTCATATTGCCCTTATGTTTCTTTAAAAGATTGGACGTTCTGAGTTATGCGAGCTGTGTTGGTTGCATAACCATCATATATGTTGTATGGTTAATAATTTACAAAAGTTTCAACGAGCATAATAGCATTGTACCACCCATAAAAATCTGGCCAGACAATGGATACGAAGTTCTGCAGATAGTACCCATCATTTGTTTTGCTTATCAGGTATATACCATAAATTAAAATATTCATATATTCAATTCTATATCCGAAATAATCTATATATTATTTTTCGATATTATTCTTCATAAAAGATATAAATACATATAGCTATGCATATCTTATGCTATGCTTATCTTATTACATATTTACAGAGTCATATGACAGCGATACCAACTTATGCCTGTATGAAGGATCGAAGCTTGTACAAGTTCACACTGTGCGCTATCATCAGTATGTTGATCTGTTTCAGCACGTATAGTGTCGTCGGTTATTTCGGCTACGCTACGTTCGGCAACGGTAATGTTCCGAGCGATATCTTGCAAGGCTATAGCGATAAAAGTACCGTGGTGACTGTGGCAATAATCGCGATTGCATTCAAAAATTTCACCACTTATCCTATCGTATTGTATTGCGGTCGTGACGCGCTTCTTGGTATCTTCAATGTGAATGTCGATCGACTCAGTGTCCGTGTAATCGTTGCATTGATTTGGTTTGTTTTGTCATTGGTTATCGCCATTCTGGTACCGGACATCTCGCCAGTTATTAATTTACTGGGATCGTTATCTGCGATGTTTATCTTTATACTGCCAGGCGTCTGTCTTTTACAAAAGGTTCTTCTCACAGATCCAGAATTGTATTTAAATAAGGATCGTCTATTGGTCATTTTCGCAATCTTGTTAACTGTAATTGGAGCCTTCGTAAGTGGTGTTATATTCATGGAGGCTCTTGAAGATATACAGAAGCCGTTGATCAAACCACCATTGGTTACCGGCTTCAGACAACTCAGAGAGAGTCTGTGCGTTTGATATTGCACAATCTAAGAAACATAGAAATTATCAATGGTAATCTATTTAATAGTGTGCCATGTTCTCTCACAGATCTCATACACAAAACTTAATTCAAACGAGAAAGCTGATCTGCATTTATGTTTGATATAATCTTTCATTAATGTTACATTAAGATAAGAAGACTAGTTAAGGTATCAGAAAAAGACTGATATATGTATATACAATTTTTATTAGTAAATTTTTACCTATGAATGCAACGCGAAGGTGCGTGAAGATGATTGTTTTGATACGTTTGACGTCTGTCGCCAAAAAGTGCTCAATTGTAAATAATTCCACTAGTGAATATAAATAAAAAAGGAACTCTGATACTTTATATACCTCTCTGTTGCTTTTAATTTATCCTAATTTTCACATAATTCATTATTATACAATTAAAATTATATGCGGCAGTTTTATCGGACTCGATGCTCAATGCATATCGCGAGAATTACGACAAATCTTTAATACAATATATGCAACTGTTGAAACAATCTTGTCAATGGATCAAGAAGTTGTTCTCGAAATTGCGAATTCGCTAGTAAAATCATGCAACACGTTTCCGCTTAGATCTTCGACCTTATCTATAGTCGCTTTACAAAAGAAACATTCTCTAGTATTGAGCAGATGACGATCTATGCAGGTGCGACACGTTTGGTGATTGCACGGTTTAAATGTAGCAGTAATTGGAAAGGCGTAACAAATTGTACAAGTGTTATCATCGTCGCTTATTAATTTGGTATCGGGTAAAAGCGTGCGATAGGTATCAAGATATGTTATCATTTGTTTCACTCGATTAATCTCCTCCGCCGTCACATCTTCCTGATCTACAGAGAAAGGATGAAATGCGATTAATTTCAAACATAATCGTGTATATTACTATTATTATATAAGTAAATAAATTTAATTAAATATATCGCACATCATGTACGATTAGGTAATTCATGAAATACTTACAGTTCAATAATGAGAAGGGTTTTACATTTTTTGTCTTTGTATTTTTCAATTTTGTATCACCCAGAACAAAATACAAAGAACTGATCTGAAAACTCGGTTCTGTTAATAAACTTCGTGTTATTCTGGGCACTTCATTCGTCAGTTTTGCTGAGTAATAAAGAAAAACATATTTATCAAGGTTCATTTTGTGTATACAGTTGTTTTACAAGTTATAATATTTACTTGTGACATTCATCTCCTTTTCAAGAAGAGCGAGCAGAATACCAATAACGGCAGCTAATATAGGAAAGTGATCTACAGACTCTAAATCCGGTATTTCCAATAGCACCACGTGTTGAAAACAGCTCGTTTGCGAACTCATCCTGTTCAATACTTGACAGAGTAACTGAAATTACGATGTGATTGTATAATTTGAACGATCGATTGCAAAATAACATTTTTACTCACTTGACACAATCTAGCCAATAATGTTTCGCTGGAAGACTGCGTGGGATCGCTGAAAACATCCGGGACCACTGCGGAGATCATCTCTAATACTCGAAGCAGCGAAATCGCCAAATCAAAGCAAGTGGCACAGATTTTTAATTGTCTCGACTCGATAAACACCCGCTCTGGTCTCGATGATACATTGTGAATCTCCTGCACCATACCGATAAATTCAGAGAACGCCCAATTCAATTGATTCAACAGCGAGTTCAAGAATTGCGTGGTTGCCTGCGGATTGTCCAACAATACATCCTTCACGTGAGCTTGATATATCGTTGATGGACACGGTTCTAAAATGATAAACAAAATAATGAGCAATATATTTAAGATATCAAAATAAAAATTAAACTTTAAAACTACTAAAAGATATGATTTTAGATTTAGCAATAAAAGTTGAAATATTAGAAAGAAATAACGTACTTATGGGCTGAGAAATCGATTCTTGCTGCAACAGTTTCGGGCCGACTTTTTTCGAAAGATGTGGACTCTTCTCGTATCGAAAAGCAAAGCCATTACCCTGCCAGAATCTGACTAGGACCCAATTGGACTGTGCCCACGCTCTATTTTCATACGGTTTTAATAGACTCGTGACGAGTCTTATCCTGCTCTCACGTGGTACATTCTCCAATGCTTCTAGTGTTAATGGATTAGATACAAAACCGGCGAGCGTGAGTATCAATATGTCCTTGGAGTTGGCGTGTACTATACGTGGATCAAGAAAATGATCGCACAAAAACTCGGCGGCGTTACATAGCATCGTCCGATAATCAGGGATGTTTTCAATAGGCGCGGTAGGATGCACGTGGGCGCGCAAACTAACGCACAGATCGGACAACGTCTCCAGATAGAAATCGGGCACAAAGCTGAACATGTTGCCCTGTTGGCTGGCGGTTTGCAGAGTCAGCGTGACCACTTTTAACAGCCAAGCCAATTGCGCTTGCTTCTCCTCCGAGTACACGGCAGCTCTAATCCATGCCATATGCCTCGCTTGCTCCGACAGTTTCTTATTAAATACTTCCGTCGTACGGAGTAGCTCTCTCTGAATTGCCTCCGCGTCGGGATCTTTCGCTGAGATCGTTTCTTGCTCGATGTGTTTGAGTCTCGCTTTGGTGTCAGCGATCGCGTTAATATACGCGGACATACTGTCGCGCAAACTTGCCACTTTGGCCAGTTGCTTCTTCGCTGCTACATGATAGAATAAGATGATACCATCTAACAATTCTATCAATGACATCGCCGGATCTGCAGGACCGTGACGTATTGGAGTCTTGTCCTCTCTAGTATGCGTAAAAAATCCAAATCTCTCCAATATCATACCGGAGCTACCTTGGTTCGCCGATGCCATCGGCGGGTTGATGCTAATTAAACGAGGGTAAATGGCTGCGGGTATAGCCACAGGCAATTCGATCAGCGGTCTCACGACCGCGCCGACCACGGCAGCGGTAGCGTAAGCGTTATTTGACGCTTCATGCGTCGCTGTTGTAGTATTTTGCTGCTGTTGTTGTTGTTCCATAGCAACGATTACCTCATGATCCGGACCTAGGAGGCGTAGCAATTCGTTCTTGAATGTCTTGTTTAAGTGAGTTATTACGCCACCAAGTCTGTCGATTCCAGAGTAATTGATCGATGCATCGTAGAACGCCCTGCCCATTCCAATTTATAAGGAAATGCTATTACGTAAATTAAACGTCGCTCAATAATACTTGCGAATTATAATAATAATGATGTACGAAGCGGGTGCTTATATGTTCGGAAAAGAAAAATAAAAAAAAAGCTACGTCGGATACATATTAATATATAAATATACAGTTAATAAACGCGATAAATAAAATTAACAATGCAAGCGTTCAAGCGTTTTAGTATGTCATATGTGTAAATATATGTATGTTTTTTTAGAGGGAAACATTTGATATGATTGAAGATTTCTACGTTACTAAAGTAGAGTTGATTCCTTTCGCAAGTGCGTGTCTAATAATTCTCGGTAATGCCTTATCACCTGCAAGGTATATAGACGGGGCTTGTCCCAATTTCAGTGTCCCACAAAATTCTGAATGCAACCAGGAGTCGGTGAAAGCAACATAATGTGATCGGCAAGGGAGTCTGCAGAATTGGTAAAACATCTGTAGGTTTGCTGACTAAATGCTCGATAATTACACAGATAAATCGCGCGTATAAGAGTCCCCGCACTTATTTATTATGTTGTGTACTTACGCGACTGGATATCAGATTTTCCTGAACAAAACGTTTGAATTTTCTCAAAAAGATGGTTCTTGATGTCGGTCTCTTGGGTGTTCCATCAGTATTATTTAACAAAGTGACTAGTAACTTGACTTGTAAGGCTTCTACCTCTACAAAAAATATATATATGTTATTATTTTATATATAGAATATTAATATATATGAATTAAATATTTATATTCTTTTATTGCAAAATGATCGTACCGGATATGGCAGCTTTAATGCGCTCGCAGGCGTAAAGATAACTAGCCTTATTTGCTTCGATTGACAGATCTAAAGGTTTTGTTTCCCACCAGACTTTCTCTACCACATCCGTCAATCCACCCTCATCCAGTGGTTTTACATGCACAAAGTTTGCGAAACGCACACGATCAAACAGTAGGTGTTGCAGGAAATATTGTCGTGTAACAGTGTGCTGACAGATCTTAGTCAGCAGTATCAAGCTTTTGCACTGATCCGGATATTCGAGTAATAAAGAAACATGTCGGAAAGCGGATAATAAATGAAGTATCGTGCTTTCCAAGCACATTTTAATTTCATGCTCCTCTAAGAATGTCCACAACAAATCCAGACAAAGGATTGACCGTGTAATGGAAATATTCGAATATGTAGACTTCGTCGTGGAATCATCTATGTTCAAATCGCAGAGTGTTTGTATAAACGGCACAAAAACCGTTTCTGTGACATAGGGAATAGTGAGCAATGGACCAATGTGCTGTAAAATGACTCTCGCTAGGCACATAAGAAACGCTTGAGTGCTCATAGTCTTATCCTCCCATAGAACGTTCTGCTTGTCAACGTTCTTAAAATATTCTAGTAGTTCGATCACTTGCGAGATCCATTGAAAGAGAAGCATGGCTTGACGGACTTGTGCCGTCGGTGGGGCTTGCAGAGGTTCGTAATCCTCTACGGGATATCTAAATGGTATGGAGCCAAAATTGGCTGTTAGATTCTCAGTGAAAGCCAAGCTAACAGTAGGAAAATATGCAATTCCGGCACCCATCGGTATATTTTCAAATGCCCTGCCCAGACTTCTACCGTTCCTATAGAAATCTAACGTTCCATCGTCCATATCCAGTGCACAGCCGATGATATCTCCCGTTAACCAGGCTTCGCCATACTTATGAGTACTCACATTCCACTTTCGTACGCGATTCCCATCGTAAGCATATGAATTTGGAGTATCCCCTGAGAAAAAAACAGAGCAGATTAATTAAAGTTTAACTGCATTAAATAATCTGAAAGGTTTTTAAAATAATTTAAATGACATTCATGAAAATTATTGGCAATAACAGTTGTAGTTTTGATGACATTTCAACATACCGACACCATACTGTTGATTAAATTTACATTGAGCAGTTCCCCATCCGACTTGCATCACTCCTTTGGAGCCAAGTTGTACTTCGTACATCCATTTCCCTTTAAACACTCCTGTGTTAGCTCGCATCGTGCTAAAGCTACTTTGCGAATTGACGCTTAGTCTATCAGGAGACACAATGCAGAGACCATGATGCATGGATATGTCAAATCTGACGAGATAAGGACCTATACGACCTTCTCTATCATCCTCAGAGTTTCGTGTATCAATATACAAATTCAACAGGGATCTTCTGATGTGCTCGTTCACCCAAGTCAAATTCTGACATGATCTGAGATAAAATACTTGGGTTAGCAATTGGAATTGATGCAAAATCAGAGAAATTAATCAAAAAACAAAAGAAATTTAAATATAACTGAATTTATATCATGTCAATCTAGATCTCTTTCAAATAGGAAACCTACTTGGATTGTTCGAAGTCCTTGGGTTTATCGGCACGCTCGGCGGGGCTCGCCCCGAAGATCCTGCATAAAATTTCGTCCGCGTCCATCGTCGCTACTGGAAATTTATGTCGAACGGGCAGGTGTTGGGCAGGTTAATCCGGGCCTCGACGCGACATCGTCGACCTCTTATGAACGAATGACTCACGGGTTCGCGCTTCCCATCCGCCACGTTAATTCTCGTCGACCTGCGGCAGCGGTGACAGGATAATCGATAGACGACGGCTTTCGGGGTCTCAAGCTCGTGCGAGCGCGCCCGCCGACGTCGCCATATCAACACGCGAGCACGCACGACGACGACGAAGACGAATCTGGCGAATACCCACCGTCGTCCGTCGTCTCCCTCCCGCCGGTAACTTCTCGTTATTGACGAGGGAAATTCAGATCGAGTACGAGCGCAACGCGCTCCTGGCCTTCACGATTTGGTGGACAGGGGAATAGGGGGGGGGAGGGAGGAAAGGTATCAGCTGATGCATCAGCCGATCGTGCGCGCAGTCACTGCAGCGGGATGCAGACGCGCAGTGCCGGCAAAAGATGTGGAGACCAACGGTTCTAATTAGACATCGATAGGGGAAAAAAAAAGATACGACACACGTTGAAACGTGTAAAATTGAAAAGAGCGACAATAAAGCAAAATATAAAGAAATTAATTGACAAAATATTCAATAAAATAGAATTTAAAAATATAAATTTGATCGGATTTGTTAAGTTGTTACGCCTATGAATTCTAGCTGGTTCACGCCAATTGCATCTTGTCTTCCTATATCAATTATCTCATCAGATTTTTATCGATAAAAATAATATTATCTGCAATAAATCATCGATCTTACCTGTTTAAAGATTGTGTACAGCAAAAATTGAAAACAAATCTTAGCGAACGAATCTTTTCGTTTATATGAGATATTCACTCTCACATACTTTAATCATTACAAATTAAATATACATGCTAAATTAAAAGATGACATTAAAATATATATGTTCTATAGTTTAATAATATAAAGAGTAAGATGAAATGTTAAATTCTAAAGAAAAGTCGAAGATATAAATGAAAATTGCTCGAAAGCGAGATGCAAATCGGGATGGATACTGTTGACAGGAGGAATCTGTTGACACAGTCAGACGAATGAGCCCGTTCATGATGTAATATAGTATACAGCCTGTAAGTTCGTTTATTACGATATCCATATGTGTCATTAGCCTTAACGGGAGAGATTATCGATTAAGCTATTACGCTCCTCTCGGATCATCCACTGATAAGACGTGGCTATACTAAATTATACGCGTATGTTAAATTACGTTACGGATTCGTTAAAAAATCATTACCATCCGGCGCACAATTTGCGCCATAAGTAAAAAAAAAAAAAAAAAAAAAAAAAAACAAGAAGAATTAACTAATAACAAAATA